GGGGAGGGAGAGGGAGAGGCAGGGTCGGCGGGTGACGGGCTGGCGAGCGAAGGTGGCGTCCGGGTTCCGCGTGCCACAGAGCCCGACGCCGCAAGACCTGCGACGATTTAGGAGGAGCTCCGCCCTGGGTGGGTTATCCATCCCGTTCTCCGACGGCGGCTGGGTGTCCTCGATCGTGGCTCCGCGCGACGCAAGGGGCCTCCGCGCTCCCCGGCGGTGACTTGGTGCCAGGAAGGCGTACACACACACACACACACACACACACACACACACAGAGACAAAATCCGCCCCAGGTCAGGACCGAGCAACCTTCCTTGCGGACAACCCACCCGGGGTAGAAACGACCCTCCGCTCCTTCGAGAACAGCTCTTCCCAGGAGTCCCTGTTTCACCGGACGGGGCTGTGGGGGAGGGGGGGGCTTGGGAGAATGGAAAGGACACCCCCTCGTCGAGGAAGGGATCTTGGGGTGAGGCGTGAGCAGCCTTCAGCCTGCCCCCCCTCTTCCCTTGGCCAGCAAATGCCCAGGAGCGAGATCCAGCTAAGTTTGCACGGCACAAACTCCCCTCTCTCTGTCTCTCTCTGTGTTTCTCTCTCTCTGTGTCTGTTGTCTCTGTCGTCTCTCTCTCTCTTTGTGTCTCTCTTGTCTCTCTCTGTCTCTGTCATTTCTCTCTCTGTGTGTGTCTCTCTCTCTGTCTCCATCACTCTCTCTCTCTCTGTCTGTCTCTGTCTGTCTCTTGTCTCTCTGTCTCTCTCTCTCTCTCTCTCCGTCTCTCTCTCTATCTCTCTGCCTCTGTCTCTGTCATCTCTCTCTCTGTGTGTGTATCTCTCTCTCTGTTTCTCCGTCTCTCTCTCTCTCTCTTTTTGTCTCTGTCATCTTTCTCTGTATTTCTGTCTCTTGTCTCTCTTTTTGTGTCTGTCTCTTCTCTCTCTGTCTCTCTGTCTCTCTCTCTCTGTCTCCCTGTCTGTGTCTCTGTCTTGTCTCTCTCTGTTTCTCTCTGTGTGTCTTTCTCTTGTCTCTCTCTGTGTCTCTGTCTCCCTGTCTGTTTCTCTCTATGTCTCTCTCTCTCTTTGTCTCTCTCTTTGTGTCTGTCTCTTGTCTCTCTCCGTCTCTTTTCTCTCTCTGTCTCTGTCTCTGTCTCTCTCTCTGTTTCTCTGTCTCTCTCTCTCTTTGTGTCTGTCTCTTGTCTCTCTCTCTCTCTCTGTCTGTCTCTTTCTCTCTCTGTTTCTCTCTCTCTCTCTCTTTGTGTCTCTCTTTGTGTCTCTCTTGTCTCTCTCCGTCTCTCTCTCTCTCTGTCTCTGTCTCTCTCTCTGTTTCTCTCTATGTCTCTCTCTCTCTCTCTCTCTCTCTCTCTGTCTTTGTCTCTATTAGTCTCTCTCTCTCTCTCACAAACACACACGCGCACACCCCCCATGTCCACCCACTCTACCTGTTGAGTTGCTTCTGCAGCAGGTCCAGCCGGCCCTCCAGCTCGCTCCGATGATGCCGCCTGCCGGAAGGGAGGCTGCCGCTGCCGGCCAGCGGGAGGTCGAGGACGGGGCGGGGAGGAGCCGGGCAACGAGGCAACTCCTGGTACTGACGCTCTCGGCTCTCGCTCCAGAAGCTGAAGATATTCGACACGCCTGAAAAGGCTCCTGGGGGGAAGGAGGGAAGAACACACACATACACACACACACACACACACACACACACACACACACACACACAGGAGAGGAGGGGGTCGTCAGCCCCGGGGGGGATCCTATGACATCCCGTCTCCGAGAAGCTGCCGTAGCTCCTTGCAGGCTGAAAGGCTAGCTCTCAAGCTAGCGAAGAAGGATGGAGACCCCCCCACCGTGCGATGGGAGTGGCCAAGCCGCCCCTCCTCCTTCTCTTCCCCCCCCCCCCCCCCCAAATTGATACGGCGGGCGATGGGCGCCCCCAACAGGCCTTACCGGAGAGCGGGTTGCAGGAGTCGCCGCTCGGCTCCTCGGGGGGCACTACGGAGGGAGGCCCGGACAGGTTTCTGGTCGCCGCGTGGAAAGGCGACAGCTCGGTGGCCCTGGAGACGGGGATTGGGGTCTCCTCCTCGTCGCTGGAGGCGGCCGAGCTGCTGAGGCAGGGCTCCCACTGGGGACCGGATGGCGCCTGGCAGTTCTGGCAGCTTAGGTGCAGCGCCTTGGCCGGCGGCTTCACATCGCCCAGGTGATCGTCTGCGCGCACGGAAGACCAAAAAAACGGACTTTGAGTGGATGGCGGGTAGTAGTTCTCCAGCAACGTTTCCCAGGCTGCGGCGGGGTCCATAGGACACGGGGGGCTCAAACCCCGAAGTATTTTACTTGTCCTTCATGGGTCAGAAGGGGGGGAGGGAAGATCGGACAGGCGTCTCCGGCCGCTCCGAACGACTCTTGATCCCCCACAACCGCAAACGGTCGAAACCGGCTTTGAATTACCGCCGGTCCAAAGGGAGCCACGGGCGTTGGGGAACAGGTGCCCGCGCGGACACCCCATTTGGGGGGGGGGGGCTTGGCTGGGCTTCCTGACAGCCCCTCCTGCCCTGTCACGTCCACTAGGCAAGAACTGGGATCCCAAACCGGTTCGAACCGGTTTTGGAGAACCGCTGGTGGAACGTTTTGTCTCATTCGGAGAAGCGGCAAACCCCACCTGGGTATTTGCCGCTTCTCCGAACGACACCAAACTTTCCCGCCGCCGGTTCTCACCTCGGGCCGGCCCCACCCCGCCCCGCCCCGCCCCGCTGCAGTTACCTCTCCAACCTTCCCTCGTTGTTTTTTTACCTCAGCAATCCGTTTTGCCGTGCCTTCAAACACTGCAGCTCGCCTGCACGGATACGGAAAGGAGGTCTTTGAGACCGCCCCTCCTGCCACGCGCCCGCTCTCCGAATCGGTGGGAAAACAATTCAGGAACCCCACTGCCGCCGGTTGGGTGCTCCAGAAGGCCCATCTAGGCCCGAAACATGGCATGGGGTAGCCACCGCAACACACCCATCCACCCCCGTTTTGCCCCGCCGGTCAAATTGAAGCACCCCGGAGGCCGCTCCAGCTCACGGGTCTCGAGTTTGACCCCCCTCCCCGGCCTACTGTGGTGGTCCGACGGCAAGTGGGGAGGAACCTAGGCCAGTCCGGTAATCGGACGATGGCCCCGGCGTCCGATACAGAGACGGAGCCAGTAGCGGATGTGCCGAATCTGGAACCTCCAAGCGTCGGACAGCAGTGAGGCGGAGGAACAGCCAGGGCACGTGTGTGCCAAGCTGCCAGAAGCTAAAACAAAATGGGGTGTGTGTGACGTGGGAGTAAATCTTGGAGATATTTGACCCTTCCTCTAAGAGGGGAAAAGGGACAGGAGCCTTTGCAGGAAGCAACTTTGTTCCACTAGCGTTCGGTGGGAAACCTTGAAGCTCCCCTGTTGAAGTTGTCCTCCATTTTGGTCTCGTACGACCAGTTGAACATTGAATCATCGTCAGCATTTCAAGGGTGGGGGCTAATCAGAGTTCTCCCGAACGATTTCGGCCAACTTCTGCGGGGAATATTGACAACCTGTTTCAGACTTCTTACGGGCGGCGAACGACTACAATTCACGGCCATCTTGAAAAAAAATTTTTTTTTTAAAGGGTTTGGGGACCGACGTGCGTTGGTTACCTGTCTCCGTAAGACCTGGTTTCCCAGAGGGAGGGAGGGAAGGAGGGAGGGAAGGAAAGAGGGAGGGAGGGAGACCCCACCCTCTTCTCTGAGTCGGCAGCTGCCAGTCCTTCGCCTGCACAATCAGCCCCCACCCCACCCTACGGAAAGAGACAACGTGTGCGGCCTCCCCCCTCGCCGAACGTAGTAGCCCACCCAGGAGTCGGATCCTATTCGTTCCACGACCCGTTCGGCTCTCGCGCGGCTTTTCCCTACCCGCAGCCGATCCTGCGGAGACGAGAAAGGAGAGAAAAGCGCAAAGGCGGGTGGGACGATCCGGCGCCTTTTCTCTTCTTCCTCCTCCTCCTCGCCGTCGATCGTTTTCCTCCTCTCCGCTGATCAGCGGGGAGGCCATTATATTTTTTTTTGTTCCTCGCGACCCGTTCGGCCGAACCGTTTTGCTCGCGCTCCTGGGCCCTTCGACCATCGGCTTGTTCCGGGGATGGAGCCCTTTGGAAGTTCTCCAAGGTGTGTGTGTGTGGAGGGGAAAGGTTGAGGGCCCGAGCAAACTTCAACGGGGTGTATGTGGGCTTTTCCGACCACCTCTCACCTTTGTCGGTGCGTCGCCGGAAAGAGAGCTTGCGCCGCCGCAGCCGGTTGAAGCCCTTGTCGGTCTCGTCACTGTCCGGCGAGCCCGGGATCATGTTGGTCTGCGAGGACACAAGGCCAGCTGTCACTTTGAGGACGGGTGGGGAGCGAGACTCGGCAGGAAAGACACATTTGGGAAAAAGAGCCCAACGAGCACGTTTCGGGTGCCGCCCTCTCCCCCTCCCGCCCCGTCCGCGAAACACTCACGTCTCTCAGGTTGAAGGTGATCTCCAAGTTAGACCAGAAATGGTCGGAGAACTCCGGGTACATTTCCAGCACCTCTAAAAGATCCTCCCGGTGGATCTTGTGCAGGTCGCAGTAGGTGAGGGCTCGCACGTCCGCGTTGGACTTGCCGGGACGGGCGTACAGGTTGAGCGGCTCGCCGAAGATGTCGTTCTTCCCTGCAGGAGGCGGAGAAGAGGAGGCGCGAAGGGCGGTGGGATAGCCGCGGGGAGACGGCGTCCCTCGGCGGCCATTTTGGGGGGCGGTTTTCAGGTCTCTCGCATGGGACAAGAAAGACCGTTCTGAATGATGGGGAGGTGGCTTGGGAGTTGGGTCGCCGAGCGGCGGAATTTGGATACCGTGGTTTCCCCTCAAAATACGGCCTAGTCATAAAACTAAGCCTTAGCTTGATTTTCGCGCCGCTGCCTAATAGATACCCCTAAGATAGCGGCGGTTAACCTTTCGAGCAGCAAGGGCCAAAACGCGGTGCGTCGGAAACAGCAGTTCTTGGTGTGCGGCCACCTGGTCCCCTGGCTTCTAACGCAACACCAAGTAGCTTTAGTCCGGAACAGTTGAGCTAAACCCCGCCCAGGCTCCTTGCTGTCTCCTTCTTGCTCAATACGATTTCAGTTTCCAAACAGCCCTCAGCTCTCTCTCACACACTGACCGGACAAATGCCCCCGGACGCTGGTAAGCAGAGGCTCCATCTATCTCTATCTATATCTATCTCTATCTATGTATCTATTTATCTATATCTATCTATCTATTTATAACTATATCTATATCTATATCTATATCTATCTATCTATTTATTTATTTATATCTATATTAATTGCTACCTCTGCTTACCAGCGTCCGGAGGCATTTGTCCGGTCATAT